TATCAAATTCACTTGGCACCGTGATTGCTAAATCTTATGGGTTTAGGGAGTACATTGATACCTTTGATGGCTATTCATTCAAGTATCCTCAGAATTGGATTCAAGTAAGAGGTGCTGGTGCTGAAATATTCTTCAGAGACCCTTTTGTGCTTGATGCGAATCTCTCTGTGGAGATATCCTCTCCTTCCTCCTCCAGGTACCAAAGTGTTGAAGATTTGGGTCCACCTGAAGAAGCCGGAAAGAGAGCACTTCAGCAGTGTCTGAGGGAGTTAATGTCCACTAGGCTTGGTGTCAGGCGTGAATCTCGCATTCTTTCCACTACTTCAAGAATGGCAGATGATGGGAGGCTGTACTATCAAGTTGAGGTAATATTTCTATTGCAGAGAGTTACAAATTAAATACAATTACACTGGACTAATTAAAGTTTACCTAAGAATTTGAGCACTGTTTAGTAAAAGCTTCTGGAAAGGTCAATTTGTTTTTCAGAAAATTAAAAAACACATTGTTGTTTTTTCTGACCAGAGGGCAACAAACAAAACCTAGTCTAATTCCAACTCTGTTAGGGTCTGCAGGTCAATTTGTATTCACCCTTAACCCCGTAAAAACAAAGAGGATGATTATGTTACACCAAAATAGACAAATCAATTTTCAGTTTTAGAATCAATCACAACCACGACTACCTACATCCTCAGCTGATGGTAATCTCAACCACAACCAGTGACACTTCCCACCGCCATTGTTGGTGACCATAGGTGCTATTAATGTTGTTGTTACTTATAATAAACATCGATATTGCAAATAACGAATAATAATAGCCTCTACGTCTTTCAATTTTACCACAAACCTATCAACCACCACCACAAGTAGTCTTGACAATACAAGTGTAACATTGAATCTTGTGCGTAGGCATGCTGTCTAATTGAGATAAGGGGAAAAAAACTGTGAATGGAAAAGTAGAAAACAGAAACTGGAAAACAGGTATTTGAAGGAAACTACTATAATATTTTCTTATCGGAACTTAACAAGAGCAAAAAGATCGTTCGCTATTGTTAGAACAAGTATCATCACAAGAGAGAATTTAATTCTTGAGTATGATTGTTGCAACTAGAATAGGTTATGAAGTTAATGATGTTTGGTTTTGGGTAAAAGTATTGAAATTTATGTGTGATTTCATATACGTGTCTATAGTACAAGCCACTGTATTTCCTAAGTTCCTATGCATTTCCAAGTTAATCTGAAGCAAATAAGAATCAATACATCAATTTATTTAATTTAGTCTTTCTCAATGGCACAAGCAGGTAAATTTGAAGTCATATGCAAACAACAATGAATTGGCGATCATGCCACAGGATCGTGTGGCTTCCCTCGAATGGGATCGGCGATACCTTTCGGTATTTGGAGTGGGAAACAACAGGCTATATGAACTAAAAATTCAATATCCCGAAAATGTATTCTCTGAAGTGGAGAGTGGCATCCATGAAGTCATGAACTCCTTCAGAGTGAATTCTGTGGCAGTTTGATCTTTTTAGTGTTTTGTCATTCAAGAATTTCTATTATCTTCTTTTCATCATCCTTTTATTTTGTTCCCTTTTAGTTTGTAAGTCTGGTACTTGCTCCGTTTTCTAAGCACTGAGCTTCAAAAGTACTGAAGGCTAAAAAGGCAAGGCAAGCATGCATTCAAAGTCACTAATGCAAAAGACTACCATGTTCACCATTTGCATGTTTATCGAAAGAGTTTATTGCACCAATACCCCATACAGTTGTGAATAGTGAAAAGATGTTACAGTATTTCATTATTAGTTGAAGAAGTCTAAGCTTTGAAGTAACATATCTTAGTAGGACTAAAACATACTCCATTCGTTCCACAAAATCCTTCCTCTTTCGTTTTTTTTTGTTTTTCACAAAACACTTTCACTTTATATTAAAAAACCACTTTTACTCCTACTTTTTCATATCCTACCTATCACATCATACTTTTTCACTAATAACCAAATTATCTCATCTTACTTTTTCCCATCACATCAGGGGCAAAATTGGAAAGTCAGCCAAAATTTTACTTTCCTTATTTTTCTCCAAAGTCAAAACCGAAAGGGTTTTGTGGAACAGAGGGAGCATCTCTTATCTCCCAAAATAGGAGTCATACATTTTTATTTCCAAAATAGAAGAGGGTTTCAAGCTTTTTCTTCTCTTTTTTTTTGTTTTTGCGGTTCTAAAGCACTTGTCGATTCAGATGAAACACTTACCAGATTCGGATAGGCTGGCCGATAGGGAGGCGTCATTTGAATGGATTAATATTTTAACTATGTGTCGGTAATCGTAGTATTAGTGCCGACAGATAAATAATTGTTAGTAAAAATACAACGATTGCCAACATATATTACTCGTTCTATGTGTCAACAATGAGGGAGGAGTAGAGAAGTGACCAGAGTATGTTTCATCATTTGCCGAGTTGCATTTTTTGCCATGTTAACGATGATGGAACGATCACAAGAGCATGTCATTTCCAGCCTTGACAACAGTTTTGAAACTGGCGGGGATTCCGGACAGACCAAATGGGCAGGAGGCAACAGGGACGGTCAATGGGAAACTTTTCATGCATTTTTTATTTCGGTCAAAAATGGCCCCATAAAAAATTGGCCAGGTATCCCTAGTCTTACTAAGGCTATGGGGTTCCATCATCAGCATCTCCATCATCCCCACTTCTAACTCAGCGCTACATCAGATTTTCCCATTTCATTCTCATCTAGGAGTGTCATCATCATTCCATATTTCTTTAAATACTACTTTTATAACATTTCATTTACATTTAATATTTTAATTTAAATAATTAAATAAACTAAAACATTAAATAATAATTGGACACTTAATAAAAAATATAAACTTGAATAATAAATTAAATAAAATGCGTTAAAAAAAGAGAGTTGTAAAGAAAGGAGGAAAGAAATAAATGTATAAATATTGAGTAGAGAGAGTATGATGAAAGTTTGGCTTTTCCTTCGGTGCCATTTGTAAATTGAGGGTTTTGGTGCCCTCAATACATGGAGGAATTAGAGGATGACACGTGTACCCTATTCCACATAATTTAATACGAAGTATATTTTTGTTTATTACAATCAGGCCCAGGTCTAAAATTCAATTATTATTTCTTTGGATTTACCGTTTCTCCCATCTTCCGTTAACTTCTGCGCCGTCTCCAACATCTCTTCGTTTCTGCATCGCCGTCTCCCTCCAACATCCTCTCCATCTCCAGCGTTTTCTTTGCCGGAATCAGAAGCCGCCTGCAGCCTCCCTTCCTCTATCGTCCCTAGGTCGGATCTTATCTCCAAAATTAGAAATGAATCTCCCAGGTTTTTTTCTTCTAGTTTTCCATTAGCCCTAGATTGGTGCTCCTCTCTTTACGTTCTGGCTTTATTTTTCAGGTTTTATTCTACTTATTTTTTTGGTGCGAAAATGCAATTCTTACGAGTCTACGAGTAATTGTGTTCCAGAGTGTAATTTTCTTGTTTTAAAAATGTCAATTTGTCATTTTGAGTTTGATTTGCAGCATGATTTGGTGTAAAAAAAGGTATATGTGATGTCAAATGTTGTACCAAAATATCTCTGTATTTTTTTTGTTAAATATTACTCTTGATTTTGTCATTTTTTTGTTTTTTTGTTAATTATTTTTTGTTTTTTTGTGAGAAATACGAAATAATAATTGAATTTTTGACCTGGGCTTGATTGTAATAAACAAAAATATACTCCGTATTAAATTATGTGGAATAGGGTACACGTGTGGAAAAGCCTCCGTATTAAAAATATCCTCTCATTGCTCCATATATTGAGGGCACCAAAACCCTCAGTTTACAAATGGCACCGAAGGAAAAGCCTGAAAGTTTGGATAGAAGAGCTGTGTTTAAACTGAGTAGAATTATTTTTTGGACCTAACGGTCATTTTTCAAAAAAAAAACTCTAATTTTTTAGCTCCAACAGCCAAAAGAGAAAAAAAGAGAAATCGGTCGGGGCAGTCAGCGTCTGCACGCTTCTGACACCGAACACCGATCGAGGGGTAGTGTTCCCGTCAGGGTCGGCTGCCAGGTGGGCAACCCCTACTCCCCCGATCCCCCATACACCATAGCCTAAACGATGGACTATTGATGCTAGAGCGACGAATCATGAATGGTGATTTGAGTTATTTATTTGATTTTCATGTCATACCGGGTTGCTGGATTTGGCTCAAAGATGGAAAACGGGTTGCGGCTACTACCGCGGGCAATGTAAAGCTTAATGAATCCGTTATGTACTCTTTGTGCCGGATT